TATCTATCTATCTATGTATCTATCTATCTATCTATCTATGTATCTATCTATCTATCTATCTATCTATCTATATATATATATATATATATATATATATATAGCTAGCTAATATATATATATATATATCGCAGTCTAGTCCTATACTGGGGGAAAACTAGGCCAGGTGATTTGTTTCTTCATTGCTGTCAAAAGGTTAAACCGGATGAACAGGTCTAAATAAGGAGTGATACAGAAATAGCAGGAGATGCAAGACAGACAATTCTGGCAACAAAAGTGTATGTAAAATGCAGTATCCCATAACATTGCCCAAGCAGAATATGCACTTTTATATAGGCAATTGTGAAGTTGGAAATAAGTTGAGAGGTCTGTCGACTGCTCCTGCAATGTTGCCCCCGGTCGTACAGTATTGTCTGGAGGGTTGGTAGTGTCAGGAAATGCGATAAACAGCTGGTTTGTGGCATCTCAGCACTGCAGTGTTCATGTGTGGTTGGATTATGCCCTAACCTGCTTTTGCATGAAGAAAAAAAAAAAACAGCCAGAATGATGCAAGTTTGGCTGGAGATTCGTTCATGCATACATTACGTCGTGCAAGGCACTACGTTCGTTCACAGGGAGACTATAGATGGGACGCTTCTTGATGCCCTTGCTGGTTTATTCATGCGCCTTTCATGAGAAATTAATAAGAAGCAAAGTGACTGTTAACACTTTTTATTGTTTTAGGCAAAGTTAGTTGTCTCATTTAGAAACTCTGTGTGTCTTTTGAAGCTGGCATCACCACATCTTTGTCTGACCCATCTCCTTTGTGAATGACTTAACTCGTGGTGAGTGTGGGTGTGTTTCTGATTCAAGGAGTCTGTTTTTCCTGAAATGGCAGCAGGCTAGGTGACTTCTGGCTACACACCCATGTCGCGTGTGGTTTTGTCTATAGAGGCATGGCAGTTTGGCCATTTTCAGTGCTGGGCACATGCTGACTGAAACTCTTACCTGCTTCAGTACCAGAGTCTCTATCCTTTTGGATTGTTTAGCCCTTAGTTGTAAATTGAATAGGACAGTAACTCCAAGGTTGCGGAGCCATTATCCTTAGATACAATTATGATGCATACCTAAACTGTTAATTACAGTTGCAAAGGGGTGGAAAATTTCTGGAAACTTTCCTGAAACTTTCCATTGCGTGGGAAGTTAAGCTGAGAGATTTTGGAAATATCCCAAGTTGGAAACTTATCATTGAAATTAACAGGAATATATGGGAATTGACGGGAAAATTCCCATAATTTTGCAGCTCTAGTTACCAGTAATATCACTTTTCTGTAGGCTCTGTCTCTGAGAGTGGGCTCCTCTTTGATTATAAGCTACAATATTAGAGTATTTGGTTAGGAACCATTGTTTTTCTTTGTTAATATTGGTCATATGTGAAGTGTGCTGTTCTGTTTTATATCCTTGCACTTTCAGAAGAATATGCTTTTGCTGTGTTCTTAGAATAGGGTGTTGAAACAAACCCAGGGTGGTCTTGTGTAAATGTAGAAAGAGTGTCACCATTCACTTGCAGTGAGTCTCCTTTAAAAAGGCCCTTAAATGGCAAATTGTTGAAGATTCAGCCTTTGTTTTCCTCTTTTCTGGTTCCTCAGTCTGAAGTTTGTTGTAATTGAATGAGAGTGATGGCTACCACATGACCACAGTCGATTACAGCAGGAAGGAATGTGGCTCACAGATATTGCATGGTTACCAGGGTTTCTGGCGGTCATTTTGTGGTAGTGTCCAGGTCACTGAGTGTCCGTGACCTTTCAGGGTAGCCATAGCGTGAAGCTTGTCGTTTTGTTAATACTGTAGTTTATTTATGGGGATGCAGTATTTCCAAGGGAGATTTCACTTGACAGAACATCAGTACATGAGATGTCCCTAAGGTGCTATTAAATATGCTTTGGAAGATGCTGAATTTAAGTTCCTACTGTTTTAGTATCATAGTGATCAGCTGCTTATATGGGTCACTAAGTTTGGGACCAAATAATTCCTGTACAAATACAGTTTAAATAATTTGCATATAGTAATCAAGCAGTCTGCTTATAGTGTTCATTTTGGGTCTTTTTATACATGACAACATATTGTAAAAAATAAAACTATGGTAATTTAATTTTTTTATTTTTTTTTAACTTTGATAGGCCACGTTCGCCTTGCCGTAAACCGTCTGCTTCCAGTTATCTACCTGTGCTGCATGCACAGAAAACATTATGGGAAAAAAGAAAATAATTTTCTCTCAATAACAAATACAGACTCATCAAAGCTCATGACAAAATGCCGAAAATGAGCTAATGAGATTCAGCAACAGAAATACAATAAGCTGTATTTTATGTACATTACTATACTGTATTGTTCCATATTTGAATTTTACACAGTTCAGTAATTTAATTTGCACAGTACTGTAATTTGAAAAGCATTTGAAACAGATGTAGGTGTACTATGTTTTGAAAGAGTCAATAAAACTCAGCAAATAGCGACAATGTCCATTTCGTTACTTTATAATCATGTAATGAATATGAATTAGATGGTAAACTCCCTAAGGAAAAAAAAAAGTCTGTATTATATTGATTATCTGCTTATAATGATCACTTTCACCTGGACAGATGTGATCACTATAAGTGGTTTCCACTGTATTTGTAGATTTACATCTGTTTTGAATACATTTTTTAAAAATAAGTTTTTAGCATTACTCATTACATCTTCTGTTGTAGATGGACGCTCAACTGCTTTGCGAAACTCCCATCTCTCTACCCTTCGCTTGTCTTTGCCATTGACCTGTTACGTTTAATGTTTGATGATAACGCTCTAAAAAGAAAATCTTTGTTACATTTGTGGCATTTCATTGGCATTATCAGTATAACTGCTTGGTCTTTAAATGTGTGTTTTTGTTTTTAGGGCGTTGCCTGGAGATTTTTGGAGCGCGTTCGCCCTTAATTGCTAGGTAGCTTATTTTTCCGTTTAGGATTTCGGCAGAGTGACTTCTCACTCTCTAGGTCTCTTACAAGTCATGATTACCGTGATGTAAGTATATGGTTTAGTTGTACGATAAATCCACAATGATTATTTTCATCCTCTAAGTAATAAGTACCTTCTGCTGTAAATGCATGGAAAATTGTCTTAGTGGGGGTTGTAATTAACAGATTGTCAGTAAATATCATAAAGCGATGGCATATACGCTACAGAAGGACCTCTGTGCTAAAAGACATGCTGACGGTGGTTTTGAAACTTGGTTTGTGTCAGACAGTGGTTGGTTGGGCATCCTTCTCAAGATAACTAATAATCCTGGCCAGTAATACTATTTGCACGACAAATATTATTTGTTTTGTTAAAGTGAAATCTAGAGGACATTATTAGTTGAAAATGTAGAATTTGTTCCTTTGATGGGTGATTGATGTTACTTTGTAAAAGGATCCTGCTCATTTTCCTTTGGATCTGACTGGCTTTTGGAGGCATCATGCTTATCGTCCAATGGTTGGCTGGTCCCTGATTCCCTCTTTGGTCTGTGGGCGCCTGTCTCCATCCCGTTGTGAGCACTTCGGAATCTGAAAGATACTTCTATTCAGCTGATTTTATTTATTTATTTTTGCTGAGAATAGAATTGAACGGTGATACTTTATTCCCATGGGGCAATGCTCAATTACTTACCGCTGTCTCCCCATGAGACACATGCAGGTGAGAGCAGGCTGGGGGGTCACAGTGCAGGGTCAGCCAGCGTGCGCCGCCCCTGGAGCTGGGGGGGCTTGTTTAACGGCTCAGTACCTCCCCCTTTATCCAACAGAAAGCCTGTGCGTCCTTTACAATGTGGTGGCGGATTATTTGCACCAGACGACACACTGCTGCAGCTTGACACTAGCAGTTGGCACTATCATTAGACCTTGGTGTTCGCTTATCAGCTTATGATCAGTTTTCATCTGTTTCAGGTGTTTTACTGATAAGTAACCGTTACGTTCTGAGCATTTTGGGTGCTTGATACTTTATGCCGTCACCTTAAGTGTCTTAATGGTTTTTTTTTTCCCATCCTGTGGAAACTGTTTTGAAGAAGTGCTCTGCTTATGTCACTGTTTCACATTTAAATTTGTGTTGCTCGTGTATCTCTTTGCACACCTGCTACCGTCATGGCCTTGCATTCATGGCTTTGGACTTTTAAAAAGGGAATTTCTTAACAACCCCCCCCCCCCACACTAGCATAAGTAATGCTCCGTTCATTAGTGTTTAAATGATTTTATTGTTTTTCGTCCCGTGTCGGCCTGTGGCTGTTGTTTAGACTGCCCGCTGGCTTTTCACAGCTCTGTGGGTCTGTGTGCATCTGAGGGTTTGAAAGTCCAAAGCAGAAGGGGGGGGGAGCATGATGTGGCAGGGCAACTTGAGTGAATCCTGCGGTGTTTAGGACAAATGGCTCATCAAATTTTTAGGTTATTTTGATTTTTCAAGGTCTAGTTCTGGGTGCCTGTCACAAAGGTCCCTTCTTCCCATAATGCATCCTGGCACCATCTCTTCCAATGAAAACATGATTCATCAAACTAGGCCGCTTTCTTTCATTGCTCCGTGGTCCAGCTCTAGTGCTCACGTGCCCATTGTGTAATGTGTACGCAGGGGTCACTATGGGCAGTCTGACTGGTCTGAGGCTATGCAGCCCCATAGGCAGCCAGCTGTTCTGTTCTGACACCTTTCTGTCACAGCCAGCATTAACTTTCAGCAATTTGTGCAACAATGCCTCAACTGTGCGATCGGGCCAGATGGGCTAGGCCACAGCTCCCCACGAGCCTCAGTGCGTATTGGGCTCCCATGACTAGTGGTGTAATGGATCATAGTTGATCCGTGATCTGTACGGTAATAATTTAAAAATAAGTGATAAATAATAATTCCATACATCTCTGTGTTACGGAAGTCTGTAGAGGACATGCATTCACAGGGCAGAATTCCCCATTTATATGTAGGAATTATATAGATTTTTGGTGGGAGTGCAAAAAAACAAACAAACTGCAGATTCAGTAGCATTAGCCTGGGATTTTTAGTGGAATTCACTTCCCTCTTTCTTTTGATAAATGACAACTTTTGTCTTCCTGAGATAATAACCTTTTTGTTTAAGTTGTGATCTTGAGAAAACAACGTTGGCTATGTTAAGATCACAAGAAAAGACACGAAAACATAATGGTGGATGTCCTTTGTGGACTTCCGTATGATGCAGAGCTGCAGTGCCAAGATACAGACAAAGCAGGTGTGTGTTCACATAAATGGGGCATATTAAAAGTTCCTCATTTAAGTGTTTTAATTAATGGAAAGCAAAGTTTATACTGTGTATATATATAATTAAAAAAAAAATTTTCTGATCCAAAAAAATGATCCGAGCCATGACTCAAAACCATGATAAGATCCAAACCATGAGTTTTGTGGTCTGTTGCACCCTAACCATGACCCCATTGCTGGGTAACCGGTTGACCTTCCTTGGACCACTGGACCACTTTTGCTAGGTACTGAACACTGCATATCGGGAACAGCCCGCAAGACCTGCTTTTATGGAGATGCTCAGACCCAGTCACAAAGGACGCAAAGTACATTTATTTTAAATGCATTTTGGAATGAAGGTGTTCATACTGTAACATTTCGATCTATAGGTCTTTCCCAGCAGCGTGGTTAAGAATGATCTGCTTAGGCTCGGAACAGACCGCGCGGGTGGTCTGTTCGGTGCAGCTGCGAAAAGTATTTATTTTCATTTTGGCGCCCATGATAACAGATTAGAGCAGCCACACTGCCTGCGTGAGACGCGCGGCTCAGTCGTCACGGCAGTGGCCCCTCGTCTAGGCAGTCGGGGTGGCACCTCACTCTCTCACTATCTCACTGCGCGGTAAGCGATTCTCCGCAAAAATAGACGGTTATAAGATCTGTTGACAGTCATATTGACATCATAAGAGCAACATTACATATCCAAAACCGTTCACTACAGTTTCAATGTCTAGGCTGTATATAATACATAAAAAAATATAGATAATTATTTTAACCACTTTGGCTATTGCATGTTGCTAATAAAGAAAAGTTCTGAGTGTACTATATAGTCAGAGCAGAAACCACAGTGTAGGTTATAATTGTATTATGACTAATTTAACAGAACAATAGGAGAAGCAGAGTAGTTTTCAGTGCCATCTTTCACTCTGAACGAGGGTAAACAAAAAGAACATGACTGCTTGCTGTTTGACACTGATCAACTAGACAATGTAGAAAGATGGCGCTTGCAGTAGCAACATTGCAGCAATGTAGGCTGTGTGGACAAATGCGCAGATCTGCGATGCAGCAGTTCAGCGACTGTTCTAGGTTCCCTTTACAACATACAAAAAAAAACCACAATGGTGTTTTTTGTTTTAAGGGTTTTATTGAACTTCAGATTGTCAATAAAACCCTTAAAATCAATAAACCCTTAAAACAGAAAACAAATGTAACAATGAAAGTGAGTATTTTTACTGTCCCATGAGATTCTGGGCCTCGACAAATCAGAGAAAGAATTTTTTAATCTTAAATTGGGTATGTGCTACAAGCTAAATAAACACATATTTGAGATTAGGCCAAAGACTTCTATATCCACCATTTTTTCGAGGTGCCTAGGTGTTAAGGTCACAAAGATACAGGCAATTGTCGACCAGGTGTTTTTGCGAGCAAAGGAAAAATCCAATTGAATTTCAAACCAGTGTAACTCCTACAGTACATGAGCTAGGACAGAGACATTTTAGATTTTTAATATTCGCCCAGGAGAAAACAAAATTCCACAAAATGGTTCAGTTCTGAGATGGGTGAGCTTGGGCAATTTGTTGAGTTGAGCCAGAATGACCCTTTATTTTGAGACTTCTGTTTGCAGTATTGAAAAAAGGGCCACCTGGATTAGGTGACGTAGTCCATGATGTCGACACTGGAAATTGTTTGACATCAAAATGTTTTAAGTCAATGTTTTTTTTTTTATTTTAATAAAATTATCATTATGAATTATAAAATGCTTCAATTCATTATAGCTAATGTTTTCCTTTAATTTCATGATGTAGTTATGGGAGTAATTCAAGTTTATCACAAACGAAAAGGTGGTTTTGCACTGTGCAAAGTTTTGATGGCACATCAGTCTAAGTACTGGCTATTCATGTTTATTAAATTAGCATTAGAATTGAGGGCTTTTCATATATTTTGTACTTGACGCTGCTAAATACATTCATTATTAAAGCCACAGAGCTGCTATTTTTTCCACCTGCACAAAGCACAACACAAAGTGGTTTTGCTAGTTTCGTAGCAGCGCGTTGCTCATTTTCCTGCTATGCACACGAATGCTGACGCTCCAGCGTACATCACCTAACAGTTCGTTGTTGTCAAAATGAACTTAACTCAAACGGTCAGGTTCATTTTCTGGTGGAAAATGAATCGTTTGGATTAATCAACCAATCGATAAAATAGTCGATGGATAAATCTTCAGAAGAATAGGCTTAGTGGCAGCCCAGTTGTAAATGTGTACATTGGATAGTTGCACATTTGCAAACAGGGAAGGAAACCCTGTGTTTGCATTTTGTTTTGACTACACTGTTTAAAAATGTGTTTGAGACTTGTGGCTTTGACTTAAAATTATCGTGTATTTTTATTTTTGGTCCATATCGCTGAGCCCTACGTGTGTCACAGTGCCGCTTACTCATCAAAATAAGCCAAATTCTTAAAAAAAACTAAGTAAATGACCACAAAGCATAGTTGTTGTCCATTAAACCAAGTACATGAGAATACATTTGGAATGGGAGGCATTATTATGAAGATATGGGCTCAGAGATGTTATTGACATGCACAACATTAAGAACTAGATGAGCATAATTCCTATTTTCTGCCATAGAATTGGTTGAAACTTTGACAAGTGGCTGATCTAGCAGAATCAGATCAAGTTGGATTAGCATGAATACAAAGATTTGAGCAAATAAATGTACTACCATAGTATATGCACACTTATCTCCAGATTCTGGTTTTACAGTCACATTTTCTTTAGGCAAGCACAAAGCACCAAAATAGTACATTTTGAGGCCACAAAAAATGTATATAAATTGGACGTGTTAGGAATTTTGTGAGCTGTATTTTAGTATTTTGTGAAGCTCCAGGCATCTATGTACCATTATAGTACATCTTACCGGTCTCACCGTTACCTTTGTCATGCAAAACATTGGTCATAGTGCAAAAGAGAAATAGAACATAAACATTTATACATATAAATGACATTTGAAGATGTAGAAGACAAGGAAATATAGTTATCTGCCTAATTAGTGAGGAAAGATTTTGCAAGTTATGTGTGACGACTAGGACCCTGAGCATTCAGTTAAACGTAATTATTGGCTTTCACATTGCCAGGTGACCCATCCAGTACTTCTAGAAATTGCTGCGGTTGGGCAATATGGGGGGAGGAAGGGTTAGATGGACGGAGCTAGTGATGGGGCTGTCATTCCTACGGACCCCTTTGTAATTTTCGTAATGTTTTCCCCAGGTATAATTGTGTGTAAATGTATAATTCATCCAGGGTAGCAGAGTGACTGAGCAGTACTGGTGCATCACGGCCCCAAGGTTGTGGGTTCAAGTGGCATATATGCAGCTGAATTTCCCATAGTGCATCTGTGTGTTTGCCCTGCGATGCACTGGCATCTCAGTCAGGCTGTTCCTCTGCCAAGTGCTCTGTTCTTCCTGGGATAAGCTCCAGCCCCGCAGGACCCTGTCCTGGGTAAATGCTTGGAAGATGGATGACTAAAATTGATCTTTATTTTCTGTTTGGTTAATGTATTAAACATGTCCAAACTCTTGCCACAATCACACCTACAGCCAAACAATTGGGTGAAATGAGGGAACTGTGTTTTGGTTATGGTTGCTTATATTAAAGTAGCTTTTTTATTCGCAGGATATGTTGCTATTCTGCATATTCCTCCAGAAAAATAAGTGTACGGTCTTCTGAATAGGGTAGTTCCCACCGCCAGAGGCCCAGCACTGGGAAGACCAGCTCTGGGTTGCCATGGACGACCGCTCATCCCTCGGAAAAGTGAGCGGCTCCACAGAATCCGTGTCGACCGTCACCAGTGAGGAGTTTGTGCTGGTCCAGCCGAGCGCGGCGGGGTCGCCTTCCTGCTCCGAGGCCAAACCCAGACTCAAGGTGCCCCGGCGTGACTTTAAGCAGATGTGCAGTCGCACAGACTTGGCGAGTACTGATGTTTTGGTGAGTACTCATGAGTGTGTGAATGTTTCCAGACGGCCTGGAACGGGAGCGAGCAGCTGCAGAGGGCGATGGAGGAGGTGCTGGAGGACGAGGGGAGAGAGGAGGAGAGGCCCGCGGGAGAGCGAGGAGATACAGTAACGGGAACTCCAGCTAGTAACAGACAAACCATCCCCCATAATGTCCCGCTAGATGCAGCATCGGCAGGTCAGCCTCTATCCCGCTGTAAAACACAATAAAACACAAGCTAAGCTAGTAAGGCCAGAGATTCTCTAACTGAAACCTCTACTGCCAAGCGAACGTCATCCTTCTGTTTTTAAAATGATGGTGATGATGATAAAATAATAACAATGTAGTATTATAATAATAATAAGAATAATAATAACAGTTGTTCCATAAACGAGCAATAATAATAATAATAATAATAACAATTTCTATTTGTGGAACAGCTGTTGTCCAAGAGACCAGCTCAAAGTGCTTTATGAAGAAATTAAAGAAACTAAAATGATAAAAAAAAACATGCAAGATGTGTAAATTTTTCAAAAAAACGTTTTGACCCATTTTTAGACCTAACATAAACTAATATGATAAACTGATTGTTAAAGTTCCATTTAAGTTGAACAGCAAAATTGACGTCCATGCTTTAATTTAGTGTAAACAAATTGATGCTAATCTGAAAACATTAATGCCATTTTTCTGGGATCATTTTTATGTACTTCTGGAACTTTGTAGGGCTAATGCGGCCCTTGCAGTGGCAGTGAATGTAATGCGCTTTGATAGTGACTGGATGGAAGTGCAGTGCCAGTGAATGTAATGGGCTTTGATAGTGACTGGATGGAAGTGCAGTGGCCCTTTCGGTGCTGCGTGTTTGCCAGGTGACCTCGGCACCGACTTCCTCTTTCAAAAGGAACTTCCTCTCCCACATGAAACTCCTGCCGATTCTGACACGATTTCTGAAACATTTGCATACCCTGTTTTGTTTTCTGCAGTGCCGATAACGAGGGAGATATGGGGTGGGGGAGTTGAGCGTTTGCGTAAGAATGTATATCTTGGCCGTAACCCTTTGCCCCGCAGATGGTGAGTGTCCCCCTGTGCTGGAGGAGGACGGCGTGCAGTTTAACAAGCTCTCCTACCTGGGCTGCACGTGGGTGAAAGCCCCACGCAACGAGGCAGAGGCTCAGAGGGCCATGGCCACCCTGAAGGCGGAGAGTGCTGGCCCCGTCCCCGTCACCCTCTATGTCCCCAACGTGCCCGATGGCTCCGTCCGGTAAGACACTCGCTCTCAACATGCGTATCTGCTTACTTACCCTCACTCTCTGATTGTAGGCTTGACGGCCAGGTGGTCCTGATTATCCTGGTCGGGTTGATGTTCCTGTATCTCCTTCCGCTATATTCTCTTTCTGGTCTCACCCCCCCCCTGTATCCCAACGCCAAGGCTCTGATAAACCTAAGAAATAAGCCTGTTTGTTTCTCTCCTTTCCCTGTGTCGTAGTATTCTGTCCTGTCTGAGATTAATTTACCAAAGACAAACAAGCAGCCATTATTGTGATGCATGATGTGCGTAATCCTCATTGTCGTAACTATGTTGAAGGCATCAACATCTCGATAAGTTTTAAGTACTCACTGCTACTGGACATTTCTGAGAATGGGAAGATGAATTTTTGAACTATTTAAAAGGGTTAATTGCTTTTATAATTTATATGAAATGCAGCATCAGCTGAGAAGGACTTTTTTGTCAGTTAATAGTTGTAGATGTATAGATTCCTGCTTCAGACTTTGCGGAGCATCTATGTCTTTAAACCCCCTGAGAAACCGGCCTGTTGTTTCGCCGCTGCTGCGTCCAGGGTTGTGGACCAGGTGACTGGCACCGAGATCACCGCCCTGCCCATCTACAAAGTGCTGTTTTGCGCACGTGGCCAGGAGGGGACGCCGGAGAGCGACTGCTTCTGCTTCACGGAGAGCTACCGCAGCAGTGAGGACTTCCAGATCCACGTCTTCTCTTGTCACATCAAGGAGGCTGTGAGTGTCCCTGTGGGCTGTGCAGCTTGTCCCCGTCTCGGTATCCCTTTCATTCCCAGCTAGGGTGGTGGTGGTGGTTTTGTTGTGGTGCTGTGTGTAGTGACGTTGGGCCCCAGTGAGTAGCTCTATGGTCTCACACCTCTGGGGCTTGGGTAGGGGATAGAGGAACATGGCTTTGTGACCTGTGACTTTGGTTAACCAGTGGCCTGTGGTCTCTCCCTGACTTGCTCTCTCTCGCCCTCCCCCTCTGTACAGGTCTGCCGTATCTTATACAGCTTTTCCACAGCCTTCCGGCGCTCCTGTAAACCTGCTCCAGATGTGAGAGACTCCACTCCACCCCTCTCCCCAGACGGCGACATCTTTACTTTTGTGGTATCGCTGGAGGTGCGAGAGGATGATGGCAAAGGCAACTACAGGTCAGGAACCCCCCACCCCCCCCAAGTGCTTTGTTGTTGCCGTGGTGATGATGCTGGCCAGTCAGTCCAGACAGAATTAGCTGCCCCAGTCCTCTTGGTGTGTTAATTATTTTTTAACTATTATTCTATTCTACCTCTAGCTTTACTAAGCTGTATATTGCTTATTCAACTGTAATTAAAATTGAGTTGTACACTGCACTGAGCCTTTCTGATTTAAAAAATTGCATTTAATGCCATAGTTTTCACCTCTTTCCTATACATACACATAATTCATGTTTACCTGGAAATCCAGCCAGGTAAGCAGGTGTTCTCCACCCTTCACCAAGGACCCCTATTCTGTGTTTGACTTGCAGTCCCGTCCCAAAGGACCGCGACAAGTTCTACTTCAAGTTACGGCAAGGTGTGCAGAAGAAGGTGGTGGTCACAGTCCAGCAGCTGAGCAACACAGAACTGGGCATTGAGAGGTGAGGCCGCGCAGAACGTTGCGGTGCATGTGTGGCCTAGATGGCTCCTGCAGGTCCCAGTTCCTGCTGAAGGTGGTTGGCCATCACAATTGGACATAGAGCGATTGGGGAAATCCCGTAATGGCCATGGTTAGTTTTGAAAGTCAATTTTCTGGAAGTGAAACGGAGCACTATTACAATAAGAATGATGGTGAAGAAGAAGTGCTTCACTCTACACAGAAGTTACATGGGCGGGAACTTGTTCCTCCATGTTGTGAAACATGATTAGGGCTTTTGCATCATGGACTTCAATTCTGCCTTTTATTACTGTACTCAAGGACAGATATTGGGTTTTTTGGCTGTATGGAAATGCCGCCCTTTAATTTGGGAGTGTAAGCTCAAGATCAGCTGTGGAAATTCAGCTGAACTTATGAGAAAGTGATGTATTTTGTTGATCAAAAAATAAGTTGAGAGTTCCATACTTACCCCTACCTGCAGTGCAGTTTAGGTGCTACTGAAGGTGAAATTTTAAAGGCAACCACAAGATGGCGCAGGGGTTCTAAGAAGAGCATGATGATTTTTTGTTAAAAGCATGGTATTAACTCTTGTGTGCTTTAGGTGCTTCGGAATGCTACTCAGTCCAGGCCAGAAGGTCCGGAACAGCGACATGCATCTCTTAGATATGGTGAGAATCCTGTTTTCCTTCTTTATTTTATAACCCTCTTTGCAAACAGAGTTGGGACGCCATGTAAAACATTAATAAAAACAGAATGCAGTGATTTATTAATATTATAAACTCATATTTAATTGAAAATAGAAGAACGACAACATTTAAAAAGTTGCAACCGAGAAATGTTATGACAAATATTTGCAAATATTTGATGCCAGGAACATGATTTAAAAAAAACTTATGGAACATTGGCTTGTTTTAACACTGTGCTGTATCACCTCTTCTTTTAACAACACTCTGCAAACGATTGGGACCTGAGGAGACCAGATGCTTGAGTTTTGAAAATGAAATCCCCTTCTTGCCTCATAGGATTTCAACTGCTCAACAGTTCGGCGTCTCCTTTGATGTGTTTTTC